GTGTTTAGAGCTACGCAAACAATCCCTAGTGACCAGAACTGGATGACCTTACGATATATAAGATCGTGGCGGAAGATTACTCTTCTGGAATATGACGTTCAATAGATTGTTAGAATGACAATATCGTTAAGAGGGACGAGCCTGTATGAAAATGTGGGTAGTTTATTCCGCCAAAATGTCTCTATTTTTTTAACGGGCTCTACAGTCCCCTAGGGCCCTGGTCTCTGATTTTCATTTTCGTGATCATATAACAGAAGGAAGGACTTCTTGGACGAGTGATGAGCTCGCCGAAAGGCATCTACCTAAACACAGGACAACATGAACACAGAATAAACAGATTTTCCCCTTGGCACTACAACCCCAGTGTGCCTAGGCCTACCTCCATTAACTTCTCCGTTCACTTCGGTTTTTCTAGATCTTACACATTCGGTAGGACTCCTTGGGCGTGTGATCAGCTCGTCGCAAGGCCTCTACCTGTACACAAACACAGAAAAACGCACACACACAAATTAACATCCATGCCCTGAGTGGGATATCAAACCACGATCACGGTTTCCAAGCGAGCGAAGACAGTACATGCCTTAGACCGCTCGGCTACCGTGACCGGCGCCCGAATGGTTAATTAAAATAATTCAGTAGCAGAAACCAGAAGACCCAATATTTCAAGCAGCAGAAGAAGGAAAATAACAAAAAGTCTTTTTTACTCTTGCCAGTATGTAGGCTTACTGTATCTAGGGCTGTTAAACCCATGCCCAAATATACTGCAGAGTTTCTGAACGTAATTCGAATTCTCATTCACATGTTTTAATTAGAGCAAATTTCAAGTTTTGAATTTGAGGTTACTCGTTCTTCGAAGTCTTGGCTACTGTACAATGAGATACTGACAAGATAGTAACCACATCCCCGGAGAAGAACGTATATCTATATTTGTATATGGTTTAAGTATATAGAAATAACGAAATACCTGTATATAAAATCAACTGGTTGTGGTCCATTTGCAATATTTTGTGACGATGATAACGGACTTTTGGTGTCCGTAACAGTACGAAATTTCTTCTTCAGTTTTTAAATGAACGTACATGCCTACTGGTACGCATCACATGGTCAGTCACCGCTTTCACATTTTATAGACTTAGGATCACTGTCACGGTGGCTTACCTATGATTAATGGTGGACGAAGTTGAATTGGGGCATATCTTTCTCCAAGGACTTGGGCTTTCCCCTACCAGTTATCATTTCACCAATATTCTGTACTCATATATCATCAGCGGACCGGCTGAGGTCGCAGTACCAAAGGACTCACCCCAGTCCTTCAAGTAGTTGGGTTTAGTGTACTGTCACGTGAACTGAGCGGGGGAGGGACTGTTTACTCCTCTCTTCCGAGACTTCCCACCGTTTCTAGATTGTTCCAGAGAATACCGAAGGCTGAGAACTAGCCTAGAACCCGCGAGACTTCTAGAATAACTGTGCCTATGAAACCAATGTTACAAGGCGTAAAGAGGGCAGTATGAGTCCGTGTGAGCACGCCGTGGCAACTGGGATAGCAGAAATGGAAACAGTCGCCTTCTGAAAATAGCACTACTGCCATCTATAAGTGGAGGAAAATATGTACCAATCACAGTACACCTATCATGATATTTTCCTGACTCAATTACAGAGCCTCTAACAAACCAATTTGATTTCATATTCCCTTGTTGGATAAATTGTGCGTAGTTATTTGGAGCTTGGAGTCCTTGGAGTTATGACGGTTATGGCTGATGGTTATGTGCAAATTCGTAAGCACAGAAGGCGCTCTGTGAGGAAAATCATAAGTCAATCAGAAGGGATGAAGAACTGTAAGCTACTTCCGCGCAAGATGTAATAAAGAGGACAGTACAGTGGTCTTCGGTGAAACGGTAGTGCGCAAGAAAAAACTGGCATTAAGTTCTGTGGGGCTATAAGTGGTCCAATGAGTAATAAAGGCTATGAATTTGAGAAGACGACATTAAAAGCATATGTAATTTCTAATTTCACTTGGGACTTATATCCTCACAGCTACGTGATTTGAAGGCCAATGATAAGGAAGGACAATTCCTAAAGCATTATTCAATGATGGTAAGCTGTAGCATAATTCAATACTGAATTATTAATCTGTTTACAGAGACGTTACGGATGTTCCCACCTTCTGTGGTCGCTGATCGACTCTGCGTGAAACCGTACTGCCTGGAAGCAGACCCTCCTGTCGAACTGAAACCTGGAGACACTATGTTCATTCCAATCTATGGACTGCATCATGATCCTGAGCACTACTCCAATCCCGAGCGCTTCGACCCGGAACGGTTCAGTGATGAAAAGAGGCAGAATATCAACCCTTTTGCATACCTCCCCTTCGGTTCAGGGCCACGAAGCTGTATCGGTAAGTTCCTGGAGATTAGTTTACTGGATTCAAGGTTCTCATTCCAATGATCTTGGATGTGATGCCGTGTAGTTTACTAGAACGTTTTGGAGTAACCACGAAACTGCAACCGATTTCTCCAATACTTCATTACCGATGAGTCAGGATACTTCAGTCAATATATAGTAACTAGGTTATGGGCTAGATGACCGGGAAATCAGGGTTAGATTCCTGGCAGGTGCAACAGTCTTTTCTCTTTTTCACAGCAAGGAGGCTAGTACTGAAATCCGCTCAGAAGTGACGAGATTGGGCAGTGGGGTCTAGTAGACACCGGAGGGTCTTTCTCCGGGATTAAAACAGCTTAAGTGTGAAGCTGACCACGTAGCGTGTAGACCCGTTGCTGGGTAACGGTTAAGAAACGACGCCCGGCCCGTTGATGGGGCAGAGGATTCTTAATAAACGGTATCGTACAACCCATTTCTGGGTAACTTGTTGGTAAACATGTTCAAGCGGCAACGAATACGCACACAATAATAGTAGACGGCGTTTTCTACGTGGTCCTTGCCGATAAGGTACAAGGAGAGCAGTTAGAGCAATCAGTTAGTTGAGAGTTAAGTTCTGCAAGGAAGGCTGTGAAGATAGAATTGAGCGAGTTAATTTGAAGAATCTCGACAATTAGAGCCATTGCCAGGGAAGGGCTATTGAAGACACTGCAAGCTGGAGAAGACTTAGCGTGTAGTGATTAACAAAGTGTGTAGATCAGCGATAGCGCTATAATTATTTGTAATTCCGATTGGTGTGTATAAGTGGTCAATAAATCTATTCACCAATCCATACCCCGCCTATAGTTACATCCCTAAATCGTGCCAATACGTACAGCTATATGCCAGCCCTCCCATATTCTGTTATGACATGGTGATAAATTAAACAAAAGGGCAACTTTACTTTTTTCCTTTAACGTACTGCACTGCGTCACTTCGCAGCCACCGCTGTGAGAATTTCAAATCTCATATTTCTTGTTTAATTTAAGGCCATTTTCCAGATTTTGAAGATTGATGGAAGTATGGCTGGGAGTGAATAACTGCGGGGTGTGCACAATGAAACGGTTGTGGCCTATTTCAAATTATTATCTCGGTGTTTATACTGTGTATCTGAGGAAGATATACACGGTGTGTCCAGGATCCATTAGGACTCATATTTTAATTTTGCCATGCAATGCCATCTGTTGGCGAGTTGTGGCGTTAAGATTGTTGAAGTTTCAGCTGTGGCTGTCTATAATTTCAAAGCGCAAGCATCGCTGCATCATGTATTCTGACCTTGAATATAACAGTACTGTTCTGACTCTCGTCGGAAAATGACTGTTGAACAGAGAGCCAACATCAAATTTTATTTTAAGTTAGGCAAAACAGCCAGAGAAGCGTACCAAATGATGAAAAGTGTGTGCGGTAGTGATTTTTTTTAATTGCTCGAACATTTTTCGATGGTATGCTGTATTTCATGACGGCAGGGAGAACATTGAAGACGCCGCACGTGCATCAAAGCCGAGAACGAGTCGCACTGAAGAAAATGTGAAAAATAGTGACTGAAATCCTTACATCAGACAGATATGTTTCTGCAAGACTCATCGAGGAGCTTTTGTGAACACCAAAAAGTACTATGCATCAAACTTTTACCGAGGATTTGGGAAAACGGAAGGTCTGTGCGCGGTTTGTACCGCACGCTCTGTCAGGCGATGAAAAACATGCCAGAGTGGAACACTGCAAAGACATGTTACGGTCGGCCCAAAGTGATACAAAATGTACAAAATCGATTGTTACTGGTGATAAGAAATGGTGTTTTCAATATGAGTCTCTCATAAAGCGGCAGAGTGCAGCGTGGTTGAGCCCAAAGAAGACGAAACCAAAGAAAGTGCGCATGCAAAAGAGTCGAGTAAAGACACTGCTAACCGTTTTCTTCGATTCCAAAGGAATCATTCACAAGGAATTTCTGCCAGAAGGTCAAACAGTGAATTCTGATTATTATCTCGGAGTCCTCAATCGTTTTTTGGGCGAGAATTCTTCGAATTCTTCCTGAATATCGAGAGCAAGTTTCCTGGTCGCTCATCCACGACAATGTCCCACCCCACAAATCGAATATCATGCTCGATTTTTTGGCCAGAAAAGGGATCACAGTCCTTTATCATCCTCCGTATTCGCCAGATTTGGCTCCAGCAGATTTCTGGTTGTTCCTAGAAATTAAGTTGGCGATGAAAGGAGACCGTCACGACACCATCCAGGACATCCAAGGGGGAATGTACCACAGTTTTAAATGCGATTCCACAAAAGGATTACAGTGACTCTTTTCGAAATTTTTCAGTTGATTCCAGCTATGTATTAATTCAGAAGGAGACTATTTTGAATAAAAAGAGTGAAATTTTGAAAATAATTCACGTCTTGTATTTTTGATGAACACAGTCCTAACAGAACCTGGACGCACTGTGTATACCTACGCATCAATCAGAATGCAGTTTCAGACGTGAAGGTACTCAGACACGGGAATTCATCCAGCACTACCGATACAATGATAGACTTGTTTCCGGGAGTTACAAGCTTCGAATCTTAAGACTACAATCTTGAGTTCTTTTAAGTTGTTTATTTAATAACGCTCTTAATATTCGAAATATATTGCGTCGGATTATAGGACATAACGAATGAACGTTGAAACAGTTGGTAGAATGGGAACTGGTAGGGGAAATCGAAGTAGGAGGAAACTGATCCCAGTGGCACTTTGTCCACCACAAATCCTGTATGATCTGACCTGGTATCTAACCCGGGTCGCCTCGGTGTGAAGCAATGGTGAATTTCCTGCTTCTTTCCCTCGGATTCTCTGGTAGAATAGCAGGGTAGCTCATAGAAATACGCAACGGTCATGTTTTCTTTCGAATCCTTAACTGTTCACAGTTCATAATCATTCGATGAGCAATTTGTCTGAAGAAGCAATTCTTTGGTCTAGTGTTCTGCGGGTGCTCGGTTCGGATATCGATGAGGCACGGACTGTACTGAGATTTTTTCCCCAAAATGCCGACTTCTGCCGTCTTTCCAAGTTATTACTGTCATCCAATAACTGGACGCTATATAAGGCTGCGTTACTGACAGCGTCATTAAAATAAACCATACATAAATAAATATCTCCCCGCCTCTTTCCTTATGGGTTATTTTAGGAAGGTAACAGTCTCCAGGTTAAGCAGCGTAAAGGGTATAATGACATGAACTGAAAAAGTACGTGGAATGAAACCGTCGTAACATAACTGGAGTACTATCGTGTAATTTCTCTTCATGGACTCAGGAAAAAATAAGAGTATCTCATTTTACTTAACGATGTGAATATTTTAGTTGCGTTAAGATACCTGACTGTAGCATCCGCACCACATAACAAGTAGCACATATCAGAGAAACCTCAAGGCAAGATTCAAGAATGCTCTCAAAAGGAATACTACGAAGGAATTTACCAAACACAACCATGCAGTACTGCCATAATTACCACAATGGGTAATGCAGTGCACTTCACACAGGAAAAATCATTGTATAAAACAAAGGCAAAATTATCCCTGTAACCGGCCGTGGAGACCCATAGGGTTGTGAGACGTCGAGGTTCCCACATTTCCAGACAATGGGTTCAAAGATGGCTGTAAGGTTGTCAGCCTTACATACCAGCCGCCCTTTACTCCTCTGAAGATTCTTGGTACTCATTTCTGTTAGAGGCTGAGTCGACTTCAGGGCAATAGTGTGCCTGGAAGGATTAGGTAAATTGAAAAAATCCAACGGCGTCATCGAGAATCGAACCCGTTACATTCCAGCTTGTAGTATAGTGCCTCAATCAACTACGCTGCCGTGTGCCCCATAAATACTGTAACGTGTTCCGTTACTGATCCCACTTCTGACACCAGTGTAACGTGTTTAGTCACTGAAGACGCCGTACGGATTGTTAACTGGTTTATTCAACAACCTACAAGTAACGGCTACAATTAATTATCACACAGTTGCGGGGTTTCACACTTTATAACCCTAATCGCAATAATCTGTTTACACTGTTGCGGGGTTTCACGATTTATAACCCTCTTCGCAAATCAGTTCACTCTCTCTTCAGTAGTCTACACGTTTACAGTACGGGACCTATGTAAGTGTCCCTGTATCACACACCCCCAATCAATTCTCCGTTATCACAAACTGTCACTGATAATCACACACTTTCACTCGTAACTCGCCGCTGGCTAGATTCCAACTCTGCTCGCAGGCTGCTGCCTCGCTCGTAGGATTGCTCGGAACTAACTCGGAACTGAACTCGGCGATGGCCACATTTCAACTAACTCACGCTTACTGCTCAGCCGGCTTTTATTCCGTTCGCTGTTGCCTGTTGCCCGTGTCAACTGCGTCGTTGCGTGCCACGTAACAGTGTCTGCGTATAGCCTAGCAACGCTGTTACTTCACGCCGTCTTACGTCACCGCTGTTGACTCGCGTTGCTAGCTACCAGGACGCTGGGACTCGGCTAACTTCGGCTCCGCTCGGCTCACTTCGGCTCCGCTTGGCTCACTTCAGCTCCGCTCGGAGCGTCCAGCTAGTGCGACACGTCACAATACCATAAAATTCGCTTAGTGGGAGTGTAGTCCAGGTGAGTCCACTCAGCACGGCGACCACCGATTGGCCTATCGTACCTGCCCCTGGTGATTATGATGATGGAGAATCTGGTGGAATGAAGATTGGCAGGGGAAACCGAAGTACTCGGAGGAAACCTGCCCCAGCGCCACTTTGCCACCACAAAACCCACTTGACCACACCCGGAATCGAACCCGGAGTGCCGATGGGAAGCAAGCGACTAACCGCTTGAGCTATGACGACGCCTTATGAATACCATAAGTGAAACAACTAGAGGAAACCACAACGTTCCAACGTTGAATAGGCGCATCACTATCAAGGAACTTGGAGCAATGCTGTCCATCAGTGTTGGTAGTGTAGAAGACATCGTGAAATACCACTTGCACTATCGCAAGGTGAATGCACGGTGGGTACCACGCACTTTGACGGACGTGAACAAAATGGTGCGCATGCAAGTTGCCAGTCGTCTCCTACAGCAGTTTGAAGACGAAGGTGATGCATTTTTGAAGTCTATAGTGACCACCGATGAAAGGTGGGTGCACTGCCTCATTCCCAAGTCCCAGCAATCATCACGCGGGTGGCGGCATACCAGTTCTCCCAAACCCAAGAGAGCGCGGAGGAGCCGTTCGGCAGGAAAAGTGATGACAACGTTCTTCTGGGACTGGCAGGAGGTTTACCATGTAGACTTTCTGACAGATGCCAGAACAGTCAATGCAGCTTATTACTCAGACCTCCTGGCAACAGACGTGAAGGAAAAGATCCGATCCAAGCGGAAGAGAGGTGGAAAGTGGGTAGCCTTCAAGACAATGCACGCTCCCATGCGGCCAAAACAACAATGGAAACCCTCCGGAAATTGAAATGGAACCTTCTGACACATACGCCGTACAGTCCCGATTTGACACCAAGTGATTTCTACCTGTTCGGAAGGCTCAAATCAGACTTGCAAGGCATGCGGTTTGTGGACAACGACGACGTCATCCAGACTGTTGGGGAGTGGATAGGCTGCCATCCACAAAACTTTTCTGAAAAAAAACATGAGAATGCTTCCAGAACGTTGGAAAACATATGTTGAGTCTGGATGGGAGTACGTTGAAGACTGACATGTGCAAGTAAGTGTTTGGCAATTTGGGTTAAAAAAATAAGTTCCGGCCATATTTGAACCACCTTGTGTATACTATATACATTTACGTACATTATTACACAGTTCATTATATTTAAATCTCTATTATTATCTGAATATTCTCACAGGTATACTTAGGCCTACATATTTCGATATTTCACCGTATGATATTCAGTTGGATAATGCTTACAAACGAGAGACACATGAAAATTGCCATCTTCTGGGATAAAACGCCCTGTAGTCCGTGTAGTTGGGAAAGCAATTATATAGGGACCAGAAGGTAAGAGTCCCCACTGGCTCGCTGCTCTCGCCTGGATTCGTAGGTGAGCCAATAGGAACCAAGAGCTGGGTAGGAGTGTGCAAGAGCTGGTTTCGCTGGTGGTATCCCGATGCAGAGCTCATTGTGCCTAGTCACCTGCTCTCGCTGGTTTCTTGCTCGGCTGAGTTTCGACCCTGAAGTTGGATGGGATACGATCCTATGAAACGTCGGCGCTCTATCCCGGAAGGTGGAAATTTTCATAACTACGGCTGTGAAAACTTCAAATCCTATATAAGACACATGTTCTATTAGATTCAGATGTTTAAATTTTTAAGTGAATATAACCAGGAATAGGGTCGAAACATGTAGCAAGTAATAAAAAGGCACTATTAATACTAGACAGTTTTGTTGATTGAACTGAATTGAAGGTAGTGAGGAGGTTGGTCTAGAAATAAACACAGAGTAAACTAAGTATATGTTGCTGTCTCGTTACTAAAATGCAGGGCAAATCATGACACAAGGAGAGATAACTGATGTTTTGAAATGTGGCACAGTTCAAATATTTTAAAACGGCTATACAAATCAAAACCTGATTTGGGAGGAAATTAAGAGGAGATTGAATTCAGGCAATGCTTGCTACCCTTCAGTCCAGAACCTTTTGTCTTCTTGTCTGTTGTCTAAAAACATAAAAATTAGAATATACGAGTACAAAACTATAATTTTGCCTGTGGTTCTGTATGGGTGCGAAACTTGGTCTCTGACATTAAGGGAGGAACACAGACAGAGTGTTTGAGAACAGGGTGTTGAGGAGAATATTTGGACCGAAGAGGGATGAAGTGACAGGAGGTTGGAGAAAACTGCATAATGAGGAGCTTCGTAATTTGTACTCTTCGTCAAATATAATTAGAATGATTAAGTCAAGGTGGTTGAGATGGGCAGGACATGTAGCACGAAGGAGAAGAGAAATGCATAGAGAATATTGGGGGGAAAGACAGAAGAAAAGAGACCACAATGAAGACCAAGACATAGGTGGGTGGAAAGTATTAAAATGGATCTTAGAGAGAATGAGAGGGTATGGACTGGATCAATCTAGCTCAGAATATAGATTAGTGGAGGGCTCTTGTGAACACAGTAATAAACCTTCGGGTTCCATAAAATGCTGGGTAGTTCTTGAGTAGCTGCACAATTGGTGGCTTCTCAAGAAGAGTTCAGCTCCATGAGTGTGAGTATGGTATGAATTATACGGTGTTAAAAATACGTTTTCAGTCTTACACACAAGATATATCGTTTCGAAAGTATTTTCATTTGAATTAATTTGATGTTGACAATATCAGCGAACGAAACATGTCTTGTTTCTGGGGAGTTCAGGCTTTTTACTGATGGAAATTTACTCAAATATAACAACAGAATAACTGTGTTTTTGTCATAGAAAAGTCAGAAATTCGAATTCCTAGTACTTGATACTAATATCTGTTTTTCAATTCAGGCAAGCTGTTCGCGCTGATGGAATCCAAACTGGCGCTGGCATATCTGCTGTCCCGGTTCAACCTGAGTGTGGTCCCCAAGACACCAATGCCTTTGAAAATAATACAGACAGGATTTAACATATCCGTGAAAGGAGGTTTCTGGTTTGGTCTGCAGCCGAGAAATTCTTGAAATGCAGCCTCAGAAATGGTGCCTTTCTCCCCAAGAAATTCACTGCATTTATTTATTAACTTTTATATTATGCCTACTAATTTTCTTGACAAATGAAATTAAGATCTAATTCATTGCTCAAATGTTGATATTCGCGGTTCTATATTTGACTGGGTCTGTTTGTGAGATCCCACCGAATATTCTAGACTTAGTTTAACATTTTAAAAACTACATTTAACGTTAGCCATTTGCATGGTATATCGCCTTGTTCTTAACCAGTAATCAAGTGAAATATTTTTTGTTTGAAAATAATTTTGAGATAATATGGTAGGGCTCTTGGCACAGCAACGTTTATCTCAAAAGAGCTTTAGCATTTCTAGCGCGTAATTCTGAGATGGGGTTTCACATTTAAAAGGTAAAAAGAAAAAAACTTGGCATTTTGCCTACTGAGCATGTTAAATATACATTAAAATTTCGCATATGATAAAAGAGAAAACGTGAAGTAGTTAATCAATCATTAGACCCCGAAGCCGCACAGGGGGATGATGTGTAGTTCCATACAATTGTAACACCAGCATTTCAAAGAGATGAGTGTTCAGGTTCACGCCTCGGCCGTTTTAATACCGGAAAAGACTCCCCAGCACCAGTTGGATAGCAAGCCACCTGGACAAGACACCGATGAACACAATATCTGCCCACGCCAGGAATTGAAACCCGGATCCTCTGCCATCCAGCCGATATTTTAGTCACTATACTGAGCTATCATGGCTTCTTGGGTTTTGTTACGGTAGTTTGAATAAATATTGTTTATTTCTGTACACAGCATTATTCGATTAATCTTTGTGATTGAGACACATTATATTTTGTGTACGCTATTGCCTTATTTGACCNGATACGATCCTATGAAACGTCGGCGCTCTATCCCGGAAGGTGGAAATTTTCATAACTACGGCTGTGAAAACTTCAAATCCTATATAAGACACATGTTCTATTAGATTCAGATGTTTAAATTTTTAAGTGAATATAACCAGGAATAGGGTCGAAACATGTAGCAAGTAATAAAAAGGCACTATTAATACTAGACAGTTTTGTTGATTGAACTGAATTGAAGGTAGTGAGGAGGTTGGTCTAGAAATAAACACAGAGTAAACTAAGTATATGTTGCTGTCTCGTTACTAAAATGCAGGGCAAATCATGACACAAGGAGAGATAACTGATGTTTTGAAATGTGGCACAGTTCAAATATTTTAAAACGGCTATACAAATCAAAACCTGATTTGGGAGGAAATTAAGAGGAGATTGAATTCAGGCAATGCTTGCTACCCTTCAGTCCAGAACCTTTTGTCTTCTTGTCTGTTGTCTAAAAACATAAAAATTAGAATATACGAGTACAAAACTATAATTTTGCCTGTGGTTCTGTATGGGTGCGAAACTTGGTCTCTGACATTAAGGGAGGAACACAGACAGAGTGTTTGAGAACAGGGTGTTGAGGAGAATATTTGGACCGAAGAGGGATGAAGTGACAGGAGGTTGGAGAAAACTGCATAATGAGGAGCTTCGTAATTTGTACTCTTCGTCAAATATAATTAGAATGATTAAGTCAAGGTGGTTGAGATGGGCAGGACATGTAGCACGAAGGAGAAGAGAAATGCATAGAGAATATTGGGGGGAAAGACAGAAGAAAAGAGACCACAATGAAGACCAAGACATAGGTGGGTGGAAAGTATTAAAATGGATCTTAGAGAGAATGAGAGGGTATGGACTGGATCAATCTAGCTCAGGATATAGATTAGTGGAGGGCTCTTGTGAACACAGTAATAAACCTTCGGGTTCCATAAAATGCTGGGTAGTTCTTGAGTAGCTGCACAATTGGTGGCTTCTCAAGAAGAGTTCAGCTCCATGAGTGTGAGTATGGTATGAATTATACGGTGTTAAAAATACGTTTTCAGTCTTACACACAAGATATATCGTTTCGAAAGTATTTTCATTTGAATTAATTTGATGTTGACAATATCAGCGAACGAAACATGTCTTGTTTCTGGGGAGTTCAGGCTTTTTACTGATGGAAATTTACTCAAATATAACAACAGAATAACTGTGTTTTTGTCATAGAAAAGTCAGAAATTCGAATTCCTAGTACTTGATACTAATATCTGTTTTTCAATTCAGGCAAGCTGTTCGCGCTGATGGAATCCAAACTGGCGCTGGCATATCTGCTGTCCCGGTTCAACCTGAGTGTGGTCCCCAAGACACCAATGCCTTTGAAAATAATACAGACAGGATTTAACATATCCGTGAAAGGAGGTTTCTGGTTTGGTCTGCAGCCGAGAAATTCTTGAAATGCAGCCTCAGAAATGGTGCCTTTCTCCCCAAGAAATTCACTGCATTTATTTATTAACTTTTATATTATGCCTACTAATTTTCTTGACAAATGAAATTAAGATCTAATTCATTGCTCAAATGTTGATATTCGCGGTTCTATATTTGACTGGGTCTGTTTGTGAGATCCCACCGAATATTCTAGACTTAGTTTAACATTTTAAAAACTACATTTAACGTTAGCCATTTGCATGGTATATCGCCTTGTTCTTAACCAGTAATCAAGTGAAATATTTTTTGTTTGAAAATAATTTTGAGATAATATGGTAGGGCTCTTGGCACAGCAACGTTTATCTCAAAAGAGCTTTAGCATTTCTAGCGCGTAATTCTGAGATGGGGTTTCACATTTAAAAGGTAAAAAGAAAAAAACTTGGCATTTTGCCTACTGAGCATGTTAAATATACATTAAAATTTCGCATATGATAAAAGAGAAAACGTGAAGTAGTTAATCAATCATTAGACCCCGAAGCCGCACAGGGGGATGATGTGTAGTTCCATACAATTGTAACACCAGCATTTCAAAGAGATGAGTGTTCAGGTTCACGCCTCGGCCGTTTTAATACCGGAAAAGACTCCCCAGCACCAGTTGGATAGCAAGCCACCTGGACAAGACACCGATGAACACAATATCTGCCCACGCCAGGAATTGAAACCCGGATCCTCTGCCATCCAGCCGATATTTTAGTCACTATACTGAGCTATCATGGCTTCTTGGGTTTTGTTACGGTAGTTTGAATAAATATTGTTTATTTCTGTACACAGCATTATTCGATTAATCTTTGTGATTGAGACACATTATATTTTGTGTACGCTATTGCCTTATTTGACCGCCTCTGTGGTCTAGAGGTCAGAGGTCCCGGGTTCGATTCCCGGAACCACCAGATTTTCTGAGAAGTAGTGGGTCTGGAACGGGGTCAACTCAGCGCCGTGAGAATAACTGAGCTCTTTCAAGGAAATAACGACTCCGGTCTAAAAAACCGAGATCAACGGCCGTGGGAATTCGTTGCGCTGACCACACCACACCCTCTATCCGCTAAAGTTGGCACTATCCTCGTCGACAAGCGACGGTCGCTCGGTCGGTATGGTTTGCTTTCGGACTAGAGGCAACGGAGTTTATTACCTTCATTTCCTTTTATCCTTATAAACGAGGTTAGTTGCGTGAGATTTATCGTTAAGAAATTTGAAATTAACGTAGCAAAATTGTCGATCGTTGACACGTTACATGAACACGCATTATATGTTGGTTCAAAAATGAGCGAGCAGTCTTCTGTTTCTATTCGCCATGTCTATTCCGTGAATATTGACAATCTGATATGGATATGTAAAGAGCAGTATACCACATAAACAAGTCGGTTTACAAATGACTATTTGTAAGTGTTGTTCGTGGGAGATGTCGTTGAACATAATCCTCGATGTATCATTCCATAACATGCTTGACTGGGAAGGAATGGAGGTTAACTCATCATCAGAATCAGAACTCGAAATTTCTTACCTCTACCAATTTGCAATGGTGTAGCAGCTCAAATTGTAACTCTTAACGATTCATGGTAACATATTGTCTTAATTAACTAATTATTGATACTTTTAGCAGTTTAAATGCTTAGTAGTCTGCTGACATCCCTTTATTGATTTTGTAATAAAATCAAGAGAATTATGGCGTACTGCAACATTGAAATCCATCCCAAATTCAGAGGTTTCATTTCCTGACCTCGGTAATTATAATATGGCGGAAGCGTGAACTAGTGAAGCGGGAGCGATGCTAGCTCAAGTACAGAAACGTGGTAACAACAGTAAGTGCAAGAAGACCACAGTAAAAAAACTTTTATTGCTTTATGAAATATTACACAGCGGCTTTAAAAACTTATTATTTTAGGATAGGTAACAGCCACTATTGACTTCAATCGTCAATGAGACTGAACCCGGGATCTTTTAATTAGCGGGGCTGTCTATTGGTTAGCGCATAAGTGTGATTCAATATGACTTCCCTTACCAGGCTGGGGTTTTATTTTTCTGTTCCCTTCTAAAACGTCTCTGGTGCCTATAATGGGTGTTAAAGGCGGTCGGAGTGTGATATCTCATCACTGATATGCATGCTTAGGAGCTCCCTACATGCTTCTATGACATGGTAATAAGAACACAGATTCAATTTCAAGCAGATTCAGGGACTTTTCTCTTAGCCACTGTGTTGAGATCAGGCCCGGGGACCACCTAGTCCTTTGTCCTATGGGCATCTGGGCATTTTGAGTCCCGCCAATAAAGAAGCCAGAGCGTGAAGCTCACCATTCATTTCTATACATACAGTGCTGAGGTTAAAAGTGCAAGGAACTACATACCTCTTCTCACACATCTTCTTGGCTGGTGCCTAATTGAACACAGAGATAACTTTAACAATTAACATTTGTTCATAGCATTATAAACTTCATTAATAATTTTATACTGGAATTTTAGGACATTTATTTGTAGTAGTAAGTTGCCATTTGTTAAGAACTACATGCTGGCATTTATATTTACCTGCATTCTTCATCCAGGAGTCCTACCAATTGACTATAAGAGTCACAGTTTCTGCAGTTAATTCTGAATTTGAGCAGGCCAAGTGCTTAATATACAAAGGGTGAACAAGATATTTATAGGACTTGTGGTACTCGCAGCAGTGACAATAAAGTATTCTATTTCCTGAAACTAAAATGCATTTTGGAACAATCTATGACCTACAAGCAAGCAGAATCAACTTACTGTACTTAATAAGGGCTTCATGAGATATTTAAGAGTTTAAACACAGTGGTTACTATATGTACCACTGGCTTCAACATTAAATAACTCTTTTTGGCCACAGAGGGAAATTATTGGTTGATTCTCGCAATAAACAGCAATTACTGCAGCTGGTCTCTGCAGAAATTGTCTCATGTGGGGTGTCAACTGAATTTTTAAACAATCAGATGAACTATATGCTTCAAAGGAACATAGAATAATGCCACTTCTGGTGATGCTAGATACACCAAATATTTTCCTCCTGTCTCATTTGACTTTGTCTCAATTTCTTGTCTTTGCTCAAGGTAAGAGTGTGTTTGAGAACAAAGTAGTTAAGAGAATTCTGAGCCTGAAGAGATGAAGTAAGAGGGGAAAGTACATAACTATAAGCTTCACAATTTACATTCTTCAACTTGTATTACCATAGGCATATCCTAAAGAAATATGCTGGACCACTTGTGACAACTGAGATAATCAGTGGCGAAGCAAACATTCATAAACACAAAATCAATCCTCATGTTTTGGTCTTCTGGGTTACAACATGGCGCAGTCTAGAAGGTGAGGACCAGTGATCAGAGAAATATACTGCTCCCATCTTCAGGGTAGAAAATGGAGTTCGTTTCTTCATCTTGAGCAGCACCCATCTACTTGACTACACAGTGTCATACACGTAACCTAGTACAGTAGTTGCTGGACTCATTTAAAGTCAACCCAGTATCTGAAATCACATTTTGGCTTGTGTCACAAATGGTGCAAGGGCCTACTGTAGATTTATAATATAATATTAAAGAAAACATTTGGGATTATGTGTATTTTTATGTGCCTACTTAACAATAATTTTAGCATTCAAGTTCACTTGATTATTTTAGCACTATGCAAACCCATCAGAAGGCCCTTGTGGCCCAATTCATTGCAACCCTGTGTTAGGGGAACCCATGATCTGGAATACTACAGAAAGAATATTCACTGCTGTGAAAACTCAAATCTCAACTTTATAAATATTAATAAGAACAGAATTGTGAAAATTTCTGTTTGGGAAAACTGAATTATGAGCATATATTCTTTATAAACATTGTATGCAATGTGACATTGTTTATCCATCAGTTGAGTGCTACAATTTATTTTATATTTATTGAATGAAACAAGAGCCAAAAAACTGAAGTACTTACTGTTCACATCCTTTACTATAATCACACATCATATAATGTAATACTTCTCTCTGCAGGCATCTAGGTTCATCACAAAAACAAACAGCATAAACAATTCTGAGACAGATGAATTTTAAATGACTAAATAAAAAGGAACACATATTAGTATATGCTTCATGTGCCATGCCATAATTTTGGTTCAGTTCAACAATCTTTTTAACATTATAACCTGTCGCAGTATAGAACAGAATTAAGAATCTAATATGCCCTCTTATGCACAGTGATTTTAAGAACTTTTTGAAAATGCTTTCCGAAGAGAAAACTACTTACTCATGGCCAGGGATCAAGATACATGATTGCCAGATTTCTAGTGGCAACTAAATATCAGCTTGTGATTAACCTTTATCATGATGGTGTTCACTTAGCCACTTGTGGCACAGATGAAATAGTAAACCATATCAAAAAAGGTTAAAATTAATATAAGTAATAATCACAGCATTTATATCTCTTCAGTTGTTTTTGCTATTATCTTATGTCTGGTCAGCACATATTTACGACTAAGAGTACAACAGGAAGAACTGAATGTTGAATAAATTTTTGAAGTCGTAGCTTTCAAAATGCTTATACAGTCAAGGTCAAGTATGAAAAGAGATGAATTTCAAATTTATATAAGAATACCACAAGGAAGAGAATTATACAGATACACAGAGAACAGTATTTACAAGGTAATGAATTCAAAGTCAATTCAAGTATATATGTAGCTGTACCACAGAAATAAATGAAAACTAAGAACAACCTGAAGAAAGCAGTCTTCTGGGATTTGGCACCGTGTATATGTGGTGTTAACCTACTCTACTACAACCTACTCTCTGGAAATGGTGTTTTCTTAACAGCNTTTACTTATACTTTTTCTTCAACCCTGAAGATGGGGGCGATACGTTCCTCCGAAACGTCGGTTAACACCACATATACACGGTGCCAAATCCCAGAAGACTGCATTCTTCTCAGCACATATGATGGTTGTGGTAGGGCTAGGCAACTATGACTATTTAACTTCAAATAATAAAAACTGTTACTAAAGTTAATATTAATTAATTAATGGGTCATGGTGGAATACAGTCAATATGCAAAGTTAAAAAACTGGATTAAATAACTTCTAGTAGTTCCATATATTTGTGGTGAAAAATAATTGGCACAACTGGTATCACATGAAGAGTGTGCGGAAACTGCAACCAGAAGTTAAGGAAATTCTGTTCATGGACCTTCTCCACAAATGAACTGACTGCATCCTTGGGATCCATTAAGAAATTCATGAAACCAATTTCTATACCTCTGCCAATTAAGCCACTCACCTCTGATGATAGATTGGCTCCACTATACTCCACATAACCTTCAAAGAACATCTTCACTATCACCTACCACTCTGCTTTCTTCATTGTTGAAACTTGAGTCATTCACTTGGAAAAGCCTGAACCTCCTCATCACGCTCTTCTCATTTCACTTATCTGTAGCATTTTCTTTTTCTGTTCTCTTTTCCTCTTAAGACATCTAGCCTGCTATTTTTTTCAATTTTTCTTACACGTTATTGAAAGGTTTTATTGAAGATGCAATAATTTTGGTAAATGAACAGTTCAGGAAGGTCCGGTCTGGTGAACTAGGAACTGCAAAGTTCCAGCAGTGGATGGGTCAATATCAAAATGTATTCATGACAGAAACTTGTGCAATGGAGAAACATTAGGCATTTAAGGAAAATACGAGGTTCTGTAATATTGATATTTTCATTGCATGACTGGTAACAACTTTGAAACCTGGTGAAAATGTAGCTCAAGATCAGATGGTGGCAAGCTGTGAGTGTGGTACAGTTGCAGTCCGCTTGTGCCAAGTGAGGGTGGCATAAAAGTGGCTGTTCCTCTAAAAGTTTCCAACATGGACAACAGATGAGCTCTTGCATGTTTTTTTTTTGGTTCTAAAAGAGTGACTGTAGCAGAAAAATGATGAGATTGGTTGCCCAGCACAGACAGAATTGTTTGCTGCATAAAAGCGGCTTTAAGTTTTGGCAGAATATAGGTATGTGTTTCTGCAGCATGATTTAATATTTCCTTTTGGACTGACATGTTGCACCCATTTCTAATTACATGGCGCTTTCACTCTTTAAAAAAACAAACAAACAAACAAACAAACAAAAGCACATCACTCAGTCTTGGTGCAAACCTCTCATGAATTTTATGTTAACCTCACTCCACACAAACAGACTACTACTGAACCACACTTGCAGCATGACAGGGCTTGACCATGCGTTACACCATGACCAGCCCTCTCCTGTAATGATGATACAACAAAACCATTCTGATATTGCAGGTATTTTTAGAATCTATATTGTACCTATGCACTGAAATCCTTTTGTAGCATTGCAATAAACTGAAGCATTACTCCAGGCAGGTGTTGAAAGCTTTCCAAAAAGACTTACTAATGGCTGCAACTAAGACTGCTGCGAATGACTACAATGACCTCCTTCCAGTAAAATGTCTTCGATGGCTTGAACAGAGTTCTATCCAGAGGCTGGAGGATATGTGCCATGTGCAGAGGCTCAATGTTATCTGCAGAGCAGAAATACAGGTACAACAATGCACAGTGAGACACATTTGATCATCCAGAATATTCAGACATTTTCCAGACGTGTTTCTGAAAGCGTTCAGGACATTTCAGAATGTGGTCCTCACTGATATAGCTGGAATAAAATGTCTGTTACAGATCCACATGGCACACACTATCTGTACATCATCAGAAGCCATCAACTTTGAACATCATCAATGGCAGAATGTATACGTTTGCTCCACATTCAGCATTAATGAGCCTAATTCATTCCTTTGGTCCTTTTCTCCTTAATACTTCTGGGGGTTTGTTGCTCAAAAACAACGGGAAAGTTTACATGATTTGAGGTTCTCACAGTGATATCTTCTGACATGTGACACTGGTAGTCTGGCAATTGTATGCAGTGAAGTTTTCTTGGGTGATGGACCCTGAAAATATGGAGTTAGTATCCAAGTTAAGTTAGCAGTGGTGTAGAAAGTGCAAGGACACCACAGCACTAGACAAAATGGGAGGCTACATGGACTATTTAATGAGAGAAGCCATTGAGATCCAGCCACAAATATGATCAAAGGAGCCGTCAAAGAACACTGTAATGAAGGACCAGTTACAACTAATATAGACCGTGAAACTAATTGCATGACTCCATTCAGTCTTCTCCCGGCAGTTACCACTGGGCAAAAGCTCCACTGATCGTTTGACTACACCCATTATTCCCTCAGCATCACACAACGGGATAACTAAGAGCATGATCTGTGGGAATAAATACAAAATGAAAAACACTCATCACATCAACCCATGATGACAAAGATAGTCTTCAAAATGGATGCTAACTGCATATGAACACAGCTGATCACCTAAGAAGGCCTTTAGAAAGCAAAAGTTTACAATTATTTCAGAGGAACTTACAGTCTCCTTATTCGGAGACAACTTCTTGAAGGTTAGCAAACTTCTACCATACCACACTATGTCACATCTTAGAGGATGATAGTCCTTAAAAAAAATGTATCTATCATCCAAAGTTACCTCACAACATGCCCCACGCGAAATCATCAATAAAACTGACAAGGTGTGCCACCTGTAATCAAGAATATTGTCATGTGGTTGTGTGACTAGAGATGGGGTTTTGATTGCTAATTGAATTTACTGAACTCTTACAGATCCATGACTACAAGTAATTATAACCGTTTCACTCATTCACACAACTTACAGTTTACTTGAGCACACAATTAAAGTCTTCTCAGCCTGCAGTGTCTTCACCAGTCTTCCAGTAACGGCTTCCAACGGTGGACGTTCCCCTTCCTCCTGGTTCTTGAACTGTCCCCCAGTCTCAGCCACAGCAACTCTCGACTGACTGATTGACTGTCTGCCTCTAGATATACTCGTAACATCACGGCATGCACCGCGTAGAGAACACCGCTTCCCATTATTGTTGTATCCAATTGTTGCATTTATGAAAAAATGCTTGATGCGAAGGCGTTACTTAGGAATGGCTGTTGCATATTTTCTTATTTTGCCGTTATTGCTTAGCAGCAGTTCTACATGCCACAATATTAACAACTTTCATTGGATACAGGTCAGATAGGAAAGTCTTTAATAATAACACAGGTCTGCAACAAAAAAACTGTATAGGATATTTTTACTGTTTCTTATAGATTTTTACTCACTAAAACCGGAAATAACAGTAAAAAAAATCCATCATGTCATTTTCTTTGCAAAACTCATATTTTTAGTTTAATTTTGCGTGAAATTTCTCTTCAACATGAAATCTGGTATCCTATTGTTGATTCTAAAGACCATATCTAATAATTATTTCTTACTTTAAAATAATATTTATAAGAGTGAATCTAAAAAATAATACAAATAGAAAATGGGTGGGATGGGGGGGCAGTGGAAGGGGTTGGTAGGGTGGGTTTGGCGGTGTGAGGAGCTCTGGCGATCATGTCCCAACACGTTTACTTTGTTTGTAGCGAAAGGTGAGGAATCTTACTAGCTCGGTTGAGCATGTTTGGACATGTTCTTTGGGGCAATAGGAATGAGTATAAACAAGCCTGCTGTCAGATTTGATCATGTCTCAACATGCTAAATAAGTTCAGGATCTTGGTTGAAGTATAAGCCACTCAGTTTACATCCTGCATTCAAACGTGACTGTGCTTGTGTTTTAGCTCTGTATTATGGCTCAAAGAGGTTGTGTTATTTCTCCGGACAACTTTTGTTTTATTTGTGGTTAATACATAGTTAAAAGTCAACAAAGAAACATAAGTGATTTTGTGATGAAAGTGTATTTTGCTTATTTCAAATTGAAACTTGGGGATCAAGACAAACCTTGGGCTCCTCACAAGGTGTGCAGAAGGTGCGAGGAAGATCTTCGTTTGTGGTTTAAGGGTAAGAAAAACTTATTTCGTTTTGGCATTCCTATGATGTGGCATGAACAGCAAAACCACACGACTGATTCTTATTTCTGTTCGGTAGATGTGAAAGGCTTTAATACAAAAAATAAAAAGAAAATAGCTTTTCCCCCAAAACTTTGGAGCCTATAGTGAAGAGCAGGGTGAACGATTTAACCAGGATGTCCATGATATCGAAAGACGCTACCAAGGAAGATGGAATACGAATATGCTAGCAGACTACTGCTGGATGATCAAGCGGGAAACGGAAAATGGAAAGCGAAAGCATGTTTGGAGACGCATAAAAGAGAAGAAGAAAAGGTTTCACAGCCAAAAAGACTGAACACAGAATGTTAAATATATCATGAAGGAATTTTTTGTTTAATTATGGGAAATAATATGTTTAGTTCAATGTAATAAAATTAGTGACTTTTTTCATCGCTGTTGTGATTTTTTATTGTAAACCCCTATTACTTTCCAAAAAACCGTACGTGATAGGGGGAAATTGAGGTCATTTTTGGGTTCAGCAACCTAGAAAACATAAAGTTTACCAAAAATATTCCATGCAGCTGAAAAAAAATTACTTTTGCAGACCTGTGTAATTAACAATACCCATTCACAAACCTATATGCCTCTGGTGACCAGTTGAAAGATAAATTGGCCATCAGCCTACAAGCTGTAGCTTTCACATGCTGAGCATCCCTCAGTGTTCTATGTAATATCATGTAACAGCATAACTAGATACCAATTTCTTGTCATTCTACTACCTTGACCAATTAGGCTGTCTGGCCTGTTCCCATTCAGAATTAATTCAGAAACTGTGCACCTTATAGAGTTAGCAGGACTCCTTGGACAGGGGATCAGCCAATCGCAAGGCCGCCACCTACACAGGATAAGACAAACACATAAAAAATGTAG